GGACACCCAGGTATCTCACAAAGATCCCCTCTCCAGCCAGCAATACATTGGCATGTGTCATTTTGACAGACACTATTCCCCATACATTCACAGGTACAACCTCTTCCAAAAAAAATATTATTTTTCACCACCAACCAAGATGAAATTCTTTGCATTGCTACAGAGTACTAACTCGTTTATTTTACTAAGTTTGGGTAAATATTTGTTTAAGAGTTTTCATTACAGAGAAACTGAAATGGAAGTATGATTTGAAGTATATGTATCTTGTAATTTTAAAGCGACCATGTGTAATTTAAGTTTTGAAATGTAACAGTACTTTAGGCCGGTGGCCATATAGTGCGGAATAAAAAAAAAATAATAATAATAACCTCTTCCAGAGTAGCATGCATCACACACACAATTGCCACTATCCATGGGGAACTGGATACCATGTGTGCAAGGATCATTGCAATCAGTACCCATCCATCCATGATGGCAGTTTGTACAAACTGGTGGATTTACAGTTGTATTACAGTGTCCTTTTCCATGGCAATCAGATGTCCTTGGGCAGTCTGGTACTGTGCAAGCATCTCCAAGCCATCCATTGTAACAGACACATGCATGTGTCTCTGTGTTACATTCTCCATGTCCCGTGCAATCAATATCATCTCCGGGACATCCTGGAACACCACAAACTTCACCTCTCCAACCAACATCACAGACACATGAATTGTTAATAATATGACCATTAAATGAGCACTCCACATCACACCCCGATCCAACCCATCCAGGATGGCAGACACATATACCATCCATTGGCTGATGGATACCATGAATGCATTGTATTGTAATGCTGCCTCCACTGCCCCCACTGTCACCAGTCTTATCCTGGATTAGTATCGGTAACTATTAGCTGTCATGTTAACATCTATTTCTAATTCGTGTACATCAATCTCAAGAATACCACCATCTGTATCAGAATAGACACAAAGTTATTATTTCTATTGTTCATAACAGTTTATATTTGTTATTATTGATATTGGTCATTATTACTACATGACAAGTTATGACTTGTAATTGTGGGCATAGACACGAGTAGAGTTTGGCCATTACTGATTGATTATGATAGGTATATATTATGACACTCATTGGCATAGGTTACCATCATGGGTCATTCATTATATGTATTGGCATAATTGGTATATGTTATTACTGTGAGTTGGTTATTTTTTGTATTGGTCATAACTGGTATAGGTTGTCACCGTTGATTGGCCATTATATGTATTGGTCATAATTGGTATATGTCATTACTGTGGATTGACCATTATATGCATAGGTCATAATTGGTATATGTAATTACTGTGGGTTGGTCATTTTTTGTATTGGTCATAACTGGTATAGGTTGTCACCGTTGATTGGCCATTATATGTATTAGCCATAATTGGTATAGGTTAATACTGTGGGTTGGTTATTTTTTTAATTGGTCATAACTGGTACAGGTTGTCACTGTTGATTGACCATTATATGTATTGGTCATAATTGGTATATGTTATTACTGTGGGTTGGTCATTTTTTGCATTGGTCATAACTGGTGTAGGTTGTAACTGTTGATTGGCCATTGTATGTATTTGTCATTATTGGTGAAGGATATTACTGAGGATTGGCTAGTTTATGTATTGGTCATAACTGGTATAGTTTGTCAATGTGGGTTGGGCATTATATGTATTGGTCATTATTGGTATAGGTTATTACTGTGGGTTGGCCAGAATATGTATTGATCATTATTGGTATAGGTTATTACTGTGG